TGTTGCAATTTTTTCCTGAATCTGAAAACCATAAGCAGCGCCACCGACGGCCGCCCCCTTTCCACATCACTTTCCTCGTTCAAAGACGGAGCCCCATTCACGGTGGTGCACTCCGGGACCTGCCGGGCCAAGAGTCACTTCGACGCTGTCTCTCACGCCCCTACGGCACGCCGTGGACGCGAGAGAGACAGAGCGACGACACGACTCGGAATCAGTCTGCAGGAAGGCGTCAAGAATGAGGTGCATTAGTGCAGCGGGCCAGCAGGTCCCGGAGTACAGAGCGTACGTAACAGCCGGCCGGCTCCTGGACACATTTCCAGGCGGACACTGCTATCCAAAGTATAGGGCAGTAAAACCCTCAAACTGTTGTCTGCGCCCCAATCAGGCCGCTGCTACTGCGCTGGATCCAGCGATCCAGGTCCAAAAAGGGGTCCAGAAGGATCCCTGGATAACAAGGCGACCTGTCCCGCTGCCTCCGTCCGTCGGTCCGGTCCAGCAGTCCGGCAGCCGTGGATGTCATGTTATTGAACTTCGATGCTGGACGCGCTGGAACCAGGGCGCTTATCTGCCTCGGTCCTTCCCCTTCCGGTGCACCGCCAGTGTCCCACGAGTACACTCCAGGTGGAGAGTCTCGCACAGTGGGCCAGAAAGCCGGTGGAGGCGGCCAAAACTCTACACGCGTTTTGAGCGCCAGAGTCCTTAAAACAGGACGAATGGGTTCGTCCTGTCTAAAGTTGTCTGTAGCTCAAAACGCGTCTGGATGTCTCTCTTTTGGCGCCACCACTGAAACGCAAAACGAAGACACTTTGTAATTGCGCCCGGCGCACTGCTTCACCGAGGCGACCGTTCCGTAAAAGAACAGTAGTTGAGAAACACGACGCTTCTAGTTTTATTCCTTGAGAGGCCGTAGTCTCGTCCATTAGCTCGCTATTATAACAGCTCTGATTTTTTTTCCTCCCGAAACGGGGAAAGAGGACGGAGCTTGCCCGGCGCGGGCCATCGCCTCCCTGAAAGCCCTCAGGGTGCCGGCCGTGCCCGCCGAGACTGCTTCTTATTTCTAAAAAGTAAACGTGCCTGTTCTTGCATGCGCCCTGCCGGCCCTGCCTGGCAGCCAGTGATGGCGGGGTCCGTGGGTCCCTCACCCCTCCTCTCCCTGCACACCGGGCGTAAGTGGCTGCCTTGTGGCTGCGTGTTGGTATTTAGGGAGTATGAGTGTCCGGCCAGCATTACCTGGCTGCAGGTACCGCCGGTAGGACCGCAGCCACTTGGCCACTTTTGGGACAGTCAGTCCGCACTCGCCATAACCGAAGGCGGCCGCAATGGGAGGCCGGAAAAAAATGGCCTTTCACGTCGACTTGATTAGAATTGAATTATGTCGCGGCCGTGAGTCATGGGGCCGCTACTGTTGGGGCCCTTCCCTTCGGGCTGCAGCGCGGCTCCGTTTCTCGAAGCGAGCGTTTCCCCGCATTGAATTTAATCCCCGGGGGACGCGCGACACTGTGAGCCAGCACACTGGCGACGCGGGGGGACACCGCCGGAGCCCCACTTGGATTCCAGTGTCACCAATAATTAAGGAAGAGACAACAAGAGAAAAAACTTTTAAAAGGCCCCCGACTGGCCGACCCTGATACGCCCACTCCTGAAAGTGATTCGGCGGTTTTCGACACGACGTGTAGGGGGCGGGTTAAGGCGCAACTTGCGAGGCGCCGCAGGCCAAAGCATTTCTCAAACCATTCATTAATTTCCACGCCATTCCACGAAAACATTTTGTGTAAACACGCGCGAGCACTCACACACACACACACGATACTATCGGGCCGTGCCGTACCGTTTCCTCCGGGCTGCCTTGCCTTCTCGCCCGCGCACTACCTCCTTAGGGAAAAATATGCTCATAAGTTGCACACGCATCAGATCATGCTCGGGAGATAGAACCGTGTTCTGGCGACGGCCAGACGCCGTGACTGGCGTGTTAGTGTGTGTGTGTGTGTGTGTGTGTGGCCCATTCATCCCAGGCGAGGGGGTGGGGGTGGATTACAGCTGATAGATATCTATAATAAGATCATGCAGGCCTCACTGTCCCGACGTGAAATGCAAAGGGGCGGTGGCCTCACCGAGCCACTTCTTGACCACAAAACACACACACACACACACACACACACACACACAGTGGACTCCCACACCCACACACACTCGGACCCTAGGTGTGTCACCTATAAGACGGAAGTACTCGAAGCCTCTTATGTTCTGGCGGGTGACTCTAAATTTCATAGGTCGAGCGCCTTGCCTTGAGCAGAGCTCAATTATTTTACTTTTATAACTGTTTTTTCCCGCGTGAACAGTGACGTTGGACAGCAGTTCGAAGGGGCATTGTAATGTTTCCATCGGACCCATCGACCCGAGTTCCATTCTGAAGGAAACGAATGCAGAAATGCAGCGGGATTGTGCGATGAGTTCCACACGACGCGGCCAAATTGTTTTCCCTCGACTTGCAACAATGACCACGATGGGTTGCGGGCGTTGCAGTCGCCGTCTGGCCCTCTCGCGCTCGCGGGGCGTCCCGCGGAGGTGCGAGAGAGACAGAGCGAGGGAGTTAGTGTGCTGGCCCGCGGCTGTTGGTACTCCAGGCGCTCGGCCGGGCACGACCTGCAGTGCAGGCTCTGGCCTAGGAACTTGCACACCGACTACACCCGCTGGCTTCGCCTGTGCACAGTGGTTTAAAATCCTCTTTTAGGGGGAATAAATCGATTTTTCAAAAGTGTCGCAGGGGGCATTCTGGGGGGTGGAAACGAACTATAATACTCCAATACAATATAAAATGACGTTTATAGATTTTTATATGACGCTGGAAGCCACTGGGAAGGGTTTGATTTTAGTCTTTTGTATTTTGATCAAATTCACCTAATTTTCTTAGATGTTTCCTACCCTTATTTTTCCAATGAGGGCGATGGTACTGGTATGTTGGCGTGTTTTTCTTTTCGTTTCATCATTAATCAAAGGAAAGCAGCACACAGCGCAACATTTCGTTCGCGGTTTGGCTCACGGTGGCGGGTTTTTGCTACAAATGCGTTCAACACATTAAAAAACACACTTTTGGAGTTTCGGACATCGATGGGGCCCGATGGGGCGGAGTTATTGGTGCGAGGCGCTTCCTTACATGTTATTAAGATGCCCCGATGATAACTTTTCCGCACTCGTCCGCAACAAGAACGCAAGGGGACCAACCCAAAACGTGCCAATTGATTAGTTTTGGGATAATCGCTTCTGGTGGACACCATTCAAAATGGAAAAAAACATCAGTGCAATTGTTTTTCTGTTCAAATATTTTGTTTTGCTTAGTAACAAAATGGTTTAATGGGTTAGAAGTTTAAACTAAGTATTTTGAGCATTTTTTAGTTTTGCACTTTTTCAATATTCGTCATTTTTCTTCTTATTTGCTTTTTCCATTTTTAGCATTTTAAATCCAATTTTTATCGGACCACTTTCCTTTGAACTGGTCTTTGCCTATTGCCTACAGATGATTCAGTTCAATTCTGGTAGCATTTGGTCGCACGGGACGCTTGCTAGGACTTATTCCCCCGAAAATCGCATTTTAAACCACTGTGCTGTGCTTCGCCTCCACCGCCTTCTGACCAACGGGATGACTCATTGACGAGCGCCAGTCACACTGCCAAAACGGACGCCCCTCCACCGTAAATTACACGATAAAAGCGCAGTAGTGAGAGAAATGTCGTTATTTATAGCGCGCACCCCGACTTGCTGTCTCTATCGCTCTTACTGCTGAATAGAGTGAGCCGACGACGGCGCCCGTGGGTTCAAACTCTTGCCCGGGGGGACTGGAGGGGCCTGGGAATTGAGGAAAGGTGCGCGGGGTGGGGGAATAAAAGGTGCTCCTGTCTGGGGGAGGGGGGGGGGCTTATCACACACCTCGTTAGCTAGGCCCCATCCAGGGACGTCCTGATGTGTTACCTGAGTCACACGCAACCGCTGGCAAGGCGGCGAGGGGGGGGGGCACGGCAGGGTACCTTCGCATCGAGTTGCTGGGGACTAGGGCGTCTGGAGCAAAGTCTGGAGCGGAGCCTGGAGGGAATCGGCTGCCGCGCGTGTCGCGTGGAGCCCTGCGTCCTCCAGGAGGGGCCTTTTGTCGTCCTGGAGGACTTACTGCACCCCAAAAATGCGTTCGCTTTTTTCACTTTTTCCAAACTGCGCTGATTTTCCCTGCGGCTCTACAGCACGGAGTCCTCCCCGCCAGCGGTTCGGGCGGTGTGGTAGTCCGTGGAGCTGGAACGCTCCGCCAGTGAATCGTGCCAGACGGACAGCTTGGGCGGCCGCCCGCCTTGTGCACGCCGCACCGGCCGCCCCTGACGTGCTGGATTATTTAGGGACGTTCCCTCGCCGTGTCCAGCGCACGCCAGCACGCAGCGGCCGGACCCTGCAGCTGCAAGTGACAGTGCAGGTGACACGCTACACCGGCTGCGGCGCTGTGACTGGGCCGCCCTGGGTCCGCATTAATACCGACTCTGTCAATGGCACGGCCCAAGAAGAGCGATTCCTCATTCAAGTTTCTCCTTTATCCAGGCAGAATTGGGCGGCCGGCTTCCCGCCCTGGATCTGCATGGCGGGCACGGCGGGCGCGGCGGCGGGGTGGGGCGCCAAACTTGTGCAGGGCCGCGCGCTCCCTGGCCAAGACCGTGACCAAGGTGCGGGCACGGCGCCAACCCCCAGCACCGCCTCGGCCCGGCTCGGGGTCAGTAGTGCGTCCCGGTCAAAGGCGACACCCCCGCAAGGATTTATGCTTTGTTTCGGAATTATTTACAGCAGTGGTCCTCGGGGGCCGATCCAGGAGGACCCAGCAGCGCAGAGGCCGATAGGAGATGGCGATACGAAAGTTTAATGTGTAGTGCTGGAGTTACTTATTCAGCTCTGCATGTTTTGTTACAATTTTTTTCAGGTTTATTTTAGTTTTTTTTCAGTTTTTTGAAAGTTTTTTTTCTTCTTTGCAGTGTGGGAACGCACTGCGGCCCGGGTGACCGACGCACGTCGGGCGTTCCATTCGTTCGCAGTATGGATGGGCCCTCTGATCAATCCATCGCGCAGGGCCGCGCCGCAGCCGCCACGCCTCTCCAGGTGCAGGTCAGCCTCCGAAACGAATGGGCCGGGCAGGCCGGGCAGCCGGGCACGGTCCAACATCCTCATGCAGCCCGGCCGGGCGCGCCGCGCGATAGAGCAGAGAGCCCTCACAGAAGCAGTGGCGCCAGGTACTCACTCGGATCGGCACTCGGAATGCATTCCAGGGCCCGGCCGGGCCGCGCACCGAACCCGCTCCACTAATGAATGAAACAGTGCACAGTGTGTTGACTTTCTCCACCGCGAGGCTGCGGGGCCGCCAGAGAGGCCGTCGTCGTCATCCCGAATCCCGGAAGCTGACACATCCAGGGAGAAAAGAGAGGGCGGCCCGCAAAGTGGATTACTACCCACTTGGCCGCCGGGCCGAGCCCGACTCCGTCTCTCTCGCACCCCCTCGGAGCGCCCCGCGAGGGCGAGAGAGACGGGGTGACAAGTTCAGCCTCGGAGCTTTGCAAAGCCCGGCCCAGGGAGGGGCGCCGAAGAGGACCAGGGCCTCGCGGAAGGAGCGGGGCGTAGCGGCCCCAGGTCACGATCCTGCCATCAAACACGCTGGATTTACCTGCAGCCCCCTCCCCTCCCCTCCCCCTCCCCTCCCGGAGACGAGTCCACCCCGGCCGCGGCGACTGGCAGTTATCTCGGTGCACCGGCCACGCGGCCACGCGCTGCCGCGCTGCATAGAGCAGGGAGGGGAGGGGGAGTGGGGGGCGCTGGAGGGGAGGGGGCGTGTCTGCGGCGTGACGGGACGGGCGCCAGCGGAGCGTGGCGACCATGATGGCGGCTACGCCTCGGCTACGTCAGGCTAGACTGCGGCGGGCAGCGCGGGACGCCTTGCGCGTAGGCAACACGCCCGCACCCCTGCCCAGCGCACTGCCTATCGTCTAGGCGCTCCGCTACCGGGCCAAAAAAAATAGTCAGTGTATTTACGTTGCGTTTCGACACTTATTTTACTACAGTGGGGCAGAATACAGTGGAGGCGGCCAAAAGTCTAGACGCGTTTTGAGCTTCAGAGTCGCTGAATGGGACTCGAACCGGGCGTGTGACCCCACCAATGGATTGCTCTCCGGACGAGGAATCCATTGGTGGGGTCACTCGTTCGGTTCGAGTCCCATTTAGCGACTCTGGAGCTCAAAACGCGTCTAGATTTTCGGCCGCCTCCTCTGGTCTTCTGGCCCACTGTGCAGCGCGCTGCGCGACAAGGCGGCTTGACCGAGTGGACCGCGGCAAAGGCCGTGTCCGTGTCGCCGGCGAAATTAGTTTAGCGTTAGATAAAGACGGAACACGCCCCGCCCCGCCACGCCCCCACCAAGAGCGACGAGCAGGCGGTGCAGTGCGGCGGCGTGGTGGATACGCCCGCCACAACAACCGAGTAACAGCTCCGGGGTTTCGCGCACAGATGCGTCCGTTTTTTCAGCGTCCGCAGAGTTACGCCGCTCGCAGCGAGGAATCCCCGTCCACCACAAGCCCCTCTCGGAGCACGCCGCCGTCGCCAAACAAACCCGTATCTACGCGCGACCGGACGTGCAGTTACGGCGATGCTCGCCGATCGGCCGCGCCACGCCACTGGGGGATTCGTGTCAACAATTAAATCCAGTCTCAGCCCGTGGAGGGGGGAGGGCCGGAGGGGTGCGGATTGCCCAGAGGAAGCCTCTGCGTTTCTGGTGGAGCAGCGGGAAAGGGGCAGTGGCGCAGCGGGGGTTGCCTACACTGCGATTCCCGTTTGCAGTTTCCCCAACAGAAAAAGTGACGTCAAATAAGATGAGGTAGCGTCCCGTTTTATTGATTTCCACTTCGAGGAACGCGTGGAGTGGCTTTTCTCGCTACCGGTATTCCTCGCGCAGTATGACTGTGTCATACAATGTCCGCGCAGAGACGTAAATTACCGCCGGCAGTGAATGCCGCTGCGAGCGTCGCGTCGCGTCTCCCTTGGCGTTGTTTGCTTTGGCGACCCGCAGTGTAGCGGCCTCGCTGCTCTCTCTCGCACCCATGGGGCGTCGTAGGAGAGCGAGAGAGTGGCGCCGGTTTGGAAACAGCCCGGCGGTCGGAGGGACAGTAACAACCGACGGCCTTTTGAGTAAATCTTGCAACGACGTTCAGGCCGTCTGGCCGGCCGCGCCCAGACGCCGGGGGAGGGCCTGCCGGTGACGGAAGCAGGAGACGAAGTGGGGAAAAGAGTTCGGAAGACCTCGGCGAGCACGGCTGTGAAGACGAGGAGGCTGAAGCCGTGGTCTGCGTCCTGGAGCCGTGGTCCGGGCGCTCGGCCAGGTGGACTGGATTGCCACCAAGCCCCGCAGAGCACGGAGGCAAAGGACCCCGCCAATCAGAAGAGAGGCCTTGCGATGCACCCCGTCCGCGCCGACCGGCCGGACGAACGCCCGACCTCTGGGGACGCCTTCATGCTCCTGCAGCACTCTGTCTCTCTCGCACACATGGGGCCTTGCAGAGGTGCGAGAGAGACAGAGCGACGCGTTGCAGCGCGGGGAGGACGGCCCTCCCTCGCCTCGTCGTCTGCTTTAATGAGCAGGCCTGTGTTGCGCGGGTCAACATATGACGAGAAAGGCGCCACGCACACTGTCAAAAAGGCAAACAAGAGCGAGGCGCAACGAGCGCTCAGAATGCAACGGCCGCCCTGCAACGGCCGAGCCGCAGGGAGGAATCAAACGGGGAAAATCGGCTCAACTCACAGTGGGCCAGACGACCGGTGGGGGCGGCCAAAACTCTATGGACGCGTTTTGAGCTCCAGAGTCGCTGGACAGGACTCGAACTGAGCGTGTGACCCCACCAATGGATTCCTCGTTCGGAGAGCAAGTCATTGATGGGGTCACACGTTCGGTTCGCGTCCAATTCAGCGACTCTGGAGCTCGAAACGCGTCTGCGATTTCGGCCGCCTCCGCCGGTCTTCTGGCCCACTGTGAGGGGCCGCGGCGTGGGTGTCACGGGCTCGTCGGCGTGGTCCGCGTGACAGGCGCTGCCACCCGACGGCCCCTCGGCGCCCCTCGGCGCCCCTCGGCCACTGCCACCTCCGGGACGTTAATGTGAAACCACCTGCCGTGAAAACGGCCCTAAAAAGTCGCCGCAAAAAGTCGATAAAAAACACACGCCGCCCCGGCAGGCCGGCAGGCCGTGGCTCCGCGGGGCGTCCGCCGCTGATTGGCGTCGCGTACGCGATCCGCAGCGAATGGCCTCAACCACTTCGGCACGTTCCATCCAAATCAGGTCCTCGTCCGTCTGTCTGTCTGTCTGTCCGTCCGTCCGCCCGCGTGTCGCTTCGGCTTCCTGTCTCTGCCCGCACGTAGGCCCGCGTCAATTTCAACAGGCGATACACGTTTGTCTTCTTCGGGGACACTGCCGCCGTGTTTGATAAGGTGTGTGTGTGCGTGTGTGTGTGTGTGCGGCCGTTTACCGTAGTGCACCGCGCCTGGCCGCGCTGCCCCGCGCTGCGTGGATGCGCCGTGGCAGCCCGGTGTGCCCCCTACCGCGAGGACTGGCGAGCTAACGAGCTTGTCAGCGGCCTGAGGTGAGCCTGCCCCCCGCCCCGTTCGGCCCCGCCGGCCCCGCCGACAACACTCTCAAACACGGCGCTCGCCGTCGCACGCCTTTTACCGTGACGACCGATGCACTGCGAAACGCGAAAAACTCACATTTTGCTGCATTATTGAACACGGTGTGGTGAGGATCGACGTGTCATTTCTATCTACTCGCGTTGGTCGCCCTCTTGTCTGCGATTTGCTCGACGCTACCGCCTCTGTGTGTGTGTGCGCGCGCCTGTGTGTGGGTGTGTGTGTGTGTAGTGGTCCTCACTACACGGCACACGCTCGGTGGCTTACGGTACAGTGCAGGTGACGTGTATCGAAGGCAGGGAGGAACGGGAAGTCTGGTTGGGGGGGGGGGGGGTCAAGGTGAGGACGCCAGAGGTGGCGCGGGCGACATCGCCGTCCGCTGCATCCCGGGCTGACCGGGCAGCAAAAGGGCTCGAAGCAGTGGCGTAGCTCCCGTGCGGCCGCAGCGGACTTGCGCGGGTCTTGGAGGATGTCGCGCAGGCCGCGGGGTCGGCGGGGAACATCCCGGCGACATGGCAGTGGCGTGGCCGGCCGTGGCAGTGCCGTTGCCGGTGGTTGCCGGCTGCCCGGCGGCGTGTTGACGGGTCGCGAGGGGGACCCTTGGGGGGACCCCGCAGGACGTCCGGGACTCTATGTCTCTACACTGTGCCAAGCCCAATTAGCTGTCCTTCCCCGCCCACCGACTCGCCACCGACACGGCGGCCAGTTCAAGAAAGCAGCGCGAAACGTTACAGAAAGGGCGTGAAAAAGTAACAGAGCCTCAAGAGGACGCAACATGAGAAAAAGAAAGAGAGAGTGGGGGAGTGGAGCGGTCGCCTCGGCCGGCTCGGCCTCGGCTCTCCTTGGCCCGACACCCTGGGCACTGGGCACCCCGGGCTGCCCGGCCAGATCACTAATCGAATCTGTCAGATGCGTAAATGAATTTCCATAAATTTTGATTATGGAATTGGTTTGGAGGGGCGAGCGGGCCGGCGGCGCGCTGGCCGTTGGAGGCGACGGGGCTTGTCTGTGTCTGCTTATTTTCATAATTGTGGCAATTAGAAATAGGCACTCGTAAAGGCTTGCCTGTATTGAGACGGACGAGGGGTCTGTTTCCGGGGGGAAAGCCGTGCTGCATTGTTGGAACAGCGCGCACGCCCCGCCAATGCAGCCCAGTCATTTTTGATTTGTTCCTGGGCTGTGCTGCCTTTATGCTGCCTTTGATGTCCATGGGATGGGATCGCCACTGGATAGGGACTGCCATTCTTGTCGGGCCGTCGCCCCCCCCCTCTTCATAAAGGCAAACGTAAACACGATGGCCGTGGAAATCATTTCCAGAACTTATTCTCGCACCTCCCCGTCCAAACGAGGCTTCGATTTATGTGAAGTTTGAAATGAAGCAATTCCACATCGCCGAGCGTCGTGACCGGCCGATCCGCACAAGGGCGACCGAACGAAGAACGTGTTACT